TAGGTACCTTGTTTTAACCGGAAATGCATAGAGTATACCTGATTTTAAAAGTTACTCTTGCGCATTAACTTTAAAAACAGGCAACTATCTGTTAATCTATATGCTCTATATACCTGAATCTAATTCATAATTTCGGTACTTGGTTTGATTTCCCTAGTTTATTAAATTACTTATTTGTTTTTTTATTATTTTAATACGTTTGTACATATTTGCAAACATAACCTCAAAATCATTCAGTGCATATGGTTTATAGAAGTTCGCAGGGGTATTCGTTTCTACAGTAATTAATATATAATTTAGAATCTAGGAAACAATTTTTCATCCAAGACCAATAATCGGTCTTTAAGCCAAACATGTATGGAAGCTTTGCAATCTCCTTTGCACACATCAATACGATAATGATTATGATGATAATGTCGACGATGATGATGATGATGAAGCGATTGATGATAACGATAATTAATAATACTTTATGTTTAAAATAATGATGCAGGTAATAATTTTGTACTTTAATTTTTCATAAAAAAAATTAAAAAAACCAATTAAAATAAATCAGACCTTTTTTGTTTATTTATACAATTTTCATGAAGCTACATGCATGCCATTTCGCATTTCAGCTTACAATAGTATCTTTTAACAAAATACAAAGCGGCATGCAGGAAGAAGTCACGGAATCTTTCAGTTATTTTTTTAATTGGAAATTGATGTTTATTCATTATTTTCACAATTTTAGTGTTTTAGTTAAAAGTAGATCAGTTGAGAAATATCAAGCGAAAGAAAATGTCGTCGCTCTTGGAGTCAGAGGAGGAACTAATTACCGTGGTCAACTACTTTAAAAAGACCAAGTACTTGGGTGCACGATATATTAATAAATGAGTACTTTTTAACAAAATAATTAAACCGCTTTAAGTATTGAAAAGCCAAAATAATATACCTTTTTTATCTTTAGAAAACTTCATTTACATTTACCGACGAAAAAAAGCGGAGGAAGTTGTCTAGTCAATGCGTATATATACATATATATAGCTAGTCAGGTCATAAATTCTGTCACATGTTTAATATAAAATAATTGAAACAACTTTATTCATTATATAAAAACAAAGATTCTTATAACAATAAAGTTTATTTAAAATGATCTCCGTGATTTTATATACAGGCCTTCAATCTGCGCGGCCAGTCGTCTATCGCAGCACGAACGAGGTCCATGTCAATATCGGCGGCTGCCTTAATCAAGGATGTCTTGAGTGACTCCAAATAGGGATGAGGCTTTGAGCACGCCTTTTTCTCCAAGTATTGCAATATCTTGTAATCTAACGGACTCAAATCTGGACTGGAGGAGGGCCAGTCTTCGTGACGGATGAAGTCGACTTCACGCGCCGATTTCAAAGTTGTGTGCTCTTCGCTCTATGAAGTGGCGCCGAATCTCGTTGGAATACCCAGTGCCTGTTATTAAACATGGTATGAGAAACAGGTTCCACAAGTATCGTCATGACTGTATTTTGATACACAACTGCATTCGTTTTTACACCTTTCTCACAAAAACTTCGTGGGACCCGCGGAATACGGTTGCTCATCATCATCATTTCATCATCATTCATTTTGTTTGTTGTAGCTCTCTCCTACGTACGGTAAAAATTTGATGATCCGAAAAAAGAATTTCCCGATATTTTATTCCCGCGTACCGCTTCAACAAAGCGCGGCATCTCTTCAGTCTCAGGTCCATTAGACGAGCATTCACACGATGTCCTGTTTTTCTTCGATGTGCCCGAAGCCCTAAGTCTTCATTTAACATGATTAATATTTTGTATTCAGTAATTTATTACTTAATACGTAGATTTTTTTAAATATAAAGTAATCTCAATAAATAACAAATATCGATTTATTTAATTTATATAATTATATGACATATTTAATAATGACGAACACGTTTAGCAGTGATTTTATAAAATAAAAAATATTTTCTAAAGAAATCTACCAAAACGTTTCCAGTCTAGGCCTAGTAGGATCCATATCGGAAAGTATGTGTGCGTCGTAATCAAATAATGTTCCATACGCGTCATGGCTTTTCTTCATTGCCACAACGCGTTGAGATCGAATAGCATGTCAGCCACGACACGAATTTCGCTATTTGGTCTTTCTGTGATTGCCACAACGCGTCGTGCGCGTTTTCATTAGAGCCATAACACGAATTTCGCGATGTGGATGTTTTACTGTGACCACAACGCGTTGTGAGCTATTTTTCCGCTCACTGAGCGTTTTCGATCTTTGAGCGTAACATATATATAAATATACAAGATCTCCCAGCGAACTTCGGCGAACTTCCGGAAAAATTGGGGTTGGTGGTAGAAGGGTGAAATTTTTAGGGTTGTATGTATTTTTGTATGATGTATTATAAAAAATAAAAACAAATAATTATCCAAAAAACAAAGTTTGAGGGAGATGAAAAATAGATGTTGTCCGATTATCAAACCTTCTGAATATGCATACAAAATTTCACGAAAATCGGTGACCGTGACACGAGAATTTTATATATTAGATATATATATATATATATGTACCTCCCACGGTTTCGTTACCTTTGAGTTTCGCAGCGGAGTGCAGGCATGAATTTCACAGGCACACACAAACGAATGTCTCCATCAAAAAATACATTATAGGTATATATTAGTTATTACACTACACAGGATGTTGCGGAAAGCGTAAACGCGAACTGTTCACAAATATTAGCTCCGGTCACTCATTCGAAGTATGTAGGACAGATTTCTCTTACCAATTTTGAGCTTTATTTTAAACCACTAAGAAAACATAATCGATTGGGAAATTTTGTAATTTTTTTGCGAATTTTATGTGTGGCTGAGTGTACACACTACGGTTCAAAACAAACTTTACCTGATGCAATCATATTTTACTTAATATTGGATACGAGAAGGATATCTGGTCTGTAAACAAAACGTGAAAGGATTGTTAAATGCCACTTTATTTTTAGAAAATATTTATTAATAATTTTGACTACTTGTTGCTTGTTGCCAGAAAAAGGCATCTAAGATTAAATTCAATTTTAGATTAAATGTTCCAACTGTATGTATTTGTACTCATTCATTTAATATTTGTATACTTTAATGTATAGTAAATATTAACGAGTATGTTTAATCGTGGATCTTTTATTGAAATCATTTTTATTTTTTATATTAGCACCAAGAGCGGGCTCTATTATTAAATTTCGTCTTTCCATCCTATGGTTGTCTGGCAGAAATTGCTATATAGCGATAAGACCGCCAATTGTTCACTATTAAAAGTTTTGTCCTAGTGTGTAATATTTAATGTGGTGTGCACAATAAAGTGTTATCTATCTATCTATATATATAAAACTCAAAGATGACTGACTGACATAGTGATCTATCAACGCACAGCCCAAACCACTGGACGGATCGGGCTGAAATTTGGCATGCAGGTAGATGTTATGACGTAGGCATCCGCTAAATCAATTCTACTCCCAAGGGGATAAAATAGGGAATGAAAGTTTGTATGAAACTTTGTTAATTTTAAACCGATCGGGCTGAGACTTTGCATGCAGGTATAAGAAGAATCATAGATGAATGTTATTGTGTATAATACAAGCCTGAGAACAAAAACTGTAGTCTACACTTCAGCTCTACACCGAAGCGAAGCGAGGGCGGGCCGCTAAGCTATCTATATAAATTTAGAAAAGGTTTATTTTATCCGTTCAATATAAGGTTTCTGTTATTAACAATATATTAAGTTTCTGTTATTAAAATAAAGTAACATTTAATATAATATTATATTATTAAATTATATATATGTTGACTTTCAAAACTGATACTGAAACGAAACAAGATTGAAGGATCCCGTCTGATTATATACAGGGTTCGAATCCCGTCTGATGTCTGGATGGTATGGAAATTTTTCTACTAAAATTTACTTTACATTTAGATATCTAGCGTATGCAGTGGAATGTTAAAAAAATAAAATATAAGAAACTACTATTTTTAGCATTAAACTGTTTGTTTATAAAACTCAAGATTAAACTCTATGTGTACATGAGATCTGTACCCCTAGCACGAAACATTATCGAATTCGTATCGTTTGCGAGTCCGAAATGTCATTGTCAATAAATGTGTACTGATTTTTAGTTCTCGTTACGTACTTTGTGCCGCAGCTGTTCAAGTTTCCATACAAAATTTGACATTGTGGTTTGCAAACGATACGAATCCGATATTGGTTCGTGCTAGGGGTACTGATAACTTTTTGGCAGTGCGTGTCATATGCGATTTTGTAAAATGTTCACAATAAAATTCGCATAATTTTACAGAATAGATGTTGAAATGTTTTTGGTGGGATTATAATTACACTTTCCTCATTCCATTTACACATTTACTATAAAAAAATAATCAACAATTGCTATTTCTTCATTCAATTCTTGTAAAGGTAAGATACAATGCAAAGTGATCGCGCTGCCCTGCAGCCTAAGAAGTGCTAGAAGAAATTCGACACGGCCATTAAGGTCGCTGTAGGATAATTGGTCAGCGAAGGGTGTGGGTACGAGTCCCGTCTGCTAACCCGGACCAAGAGAATTTTTTTCTATAGATTTATACATTTAGCAGTTAAATGCTCAAAATAAATATATGAAAAAATGTGTGCACGGGCCATATATACCTATATATAATTAATTGGTGTGAGTGCTAGGCTAATTATTGTGAGTGTTAGAAATATTTATTTATTCATTATAAAATATATAACATATTGTAGCACGTGACGCTCATAGCGTCAGCCTTCGCCGAGTTACTCTCCAACTTTCATGCTCGCAGGGAAGAGCTGCGCATCTCACATACACACACGCACACACACATATATTATATATATTTGTGTGACGCTCCTGACGCATTTCCGTTTCATCGTTTCCATAGGATTTTTCCTTTTGTCCGTCCGAAAAAAAGTCTCACTTCATTTAACTATAAAACATTTATTATTTTGTCCACCAGATGAGACTCCACAACTGGATTACTACTCTATGCCAGCTCTATCGGAGCTGGACGACTTCGACTTGTGCTTGAGGAAACCCGAATCAATCTACTGCATAGTAGATTTTGTTCTGATGGAAGATGAGACACCGCTGTACCAATTCATTAAGGTAAGGATTGTTTGTCAACTAGCGGCCACCCGCGCCATAAGTTATTTGAAAATCCCTCAGGAACCTAAATTTTTTTTTGGGATAAAAAGTATCCTATGCCTTAAACCAAGTATAAAACTATGTTATAAAACTATGTGTGCCAAAATTCATCCAAATTCGTCCAGCCGTTTAGACTTGAAGAAGTAACAAACATACACACTCACTCACAAACTTTCGCTTTTATAATATAACTAGCTGTGCCCCGCGGTGTTACCCGCGGTTTATAAGGGATATTTTCCCGCAGTAAAACGTAGCCTATGTGTTAATCCAGGGTGTCAGCTAACTCCATACCAAATTTCATTAAAATCGCTCCAGCCGTTTAGACCTGAAGAAGTTACAAACATATACACTCACTCACTCACAAACTTACGCCTTGATATTATTAGTGTGATTAGTGTGATACACTATCTATGTCAAAATGGTGGGAAACAAGTATAGGACCCTGGTGGTAAGCGGCCAGGGTAGCCTCTAGATCAGTGTTTCCTAACCTTTCCAATACTGCTACCCCTGTAATCTATTAGGAAAACAGATTTTACCCCGACTTTAAAATGTTATCATCAGTCCGAGAAATTCCATTTTGGCCGCCACATCTTCGTCTCTAATAAGAAAGAAAGAAAGAAAACTGTTTTTATTGTTGACAACACATAACATACACATAAAATACAAAAATACATTAAACTTATAGTAAAACGAAACGAACAAGTAAAATCAACAAACAATAAAAAACAGCTACAGAATGTGTATTTTATGTGATGCCAACACTGGATATGGCTCAGCATACACAACAGGTAAAATAACTGTTGCACTGGTATTCTGCCATACCCAGAGCAGTGACATCACAGAAAACATTATTAAAAAATAAATATATATATATACAAATTAATTACCTCCTAAATACAAATAGAAAAGAAATCACACTATAGGTCAGAACAGTCAGAATTGGTCAGAATACATCACAATATCTGTGGCAGAAAATTGCTTATGATTACAGAAGTAATCTGTGGTTGCTTACGACAGCTTGTTCAATGGACTTTGACCTTAATTTTTTTTTTTTAAAAAAAAAGAGAAGTGACACGTATACATTATGAAAAAATATTAAAATTACCAATTAACTGTAAGACACCATGTTAAATAAATTAAAAAGAGTTTCAGCTGTTACAAAAAGTAATATTTTTAATAATGCTATCATAAGTTGAAAATCTCGCCCCGCTTCCCACACTCAGCACCCGCGGGCTCGCCAGCAAGAAGGAGCGCATGCTCTATTTAGTAGTATTATTATATAGTATTTTCTTATTAATTAGATTTGACCAAATAATTAGGTTCTTTGTTACCCCCGGAGGGGTAATTACCCCCAGGTTAGGAACGCAGGCTCTAGACGCTTGCGATACCAAAAATATCATTCCTGACCCAATCCCCTGCTCTGTATAGCCAGAAGCCTTGCTCGCCGACAGTAACACATCCATTCAACTTCAACAAATTATTGTAATAATCTTAAGCAATCCACAAAAATGATCCATTCCAAATACAAAAATACTCGTCGATATCGTACAGTAACTACAATATACCTACATGAATTGGAAGAATACTTATTCTTTTCTTATTCTTTTTAAAGTTCAATTCCGCAAGAATGTCACATGTGCATTTTGTAACAATTTCACACAGTCCGTAAAATTTAACATTATCCCCTTGATCTAAAGAATCACTCGGTGATGTAGTACACTAACTAAAAGTACTCTAAAATAAATAACATCGTATGAATTTCCAATTCAAGTACGTGTATTGGACAAATCGCAAGAACCTTTTTGTATAATTTCAAATATTTTTTCTGTATGCTTTTACACTAGTATGAGCACAAAATGTATAGTATATATAGTAGTTCAACACGAGTTTATGAAGGAAGCATTATACAAAATTTGCCTAAACTAAATGAAGGAGCTCGATGGCGCTGGTGGTTAGCGCATTCGGCCTGCGATCGTGAAAATTAAGCAACTCTTGCAATGGTCGGTTGACATAGGATGGGTGACTAAAAAGTTTTTATTTATTTATTTATTTATTTATTTATTTATTAGCCACGCCAACAGCATACACATACAAAAAACAAATATAAAATTCACAATAATAGTACCTGATGTGCACACTTATTAAAGGCATGTACAACATTTATAATTGTCTTAATCAACGTCAACAATTACAATTTTAAAGGAAAAGAACAAATTTATAATTAAAATCAAAATTAAAAACCAAATTAAAATTAAAAGAATACAGTGAATCGAAAAATCATGAAATCGGTTAAGCAAAATAAGCATTAGGTACAATTAAAATTAATTCATTTGGCAAGTGATTTCAACACTCCAGATCTAAAAGAAAGTAAGGAGTCGTGCATGATGTCCAGGTCGCCCGAAATACCATTTAACATGTTGTACTCGTTACACATTCTTACTATTGGAGAGGACAAACCAATATTAGTGCGACAGCGCGGAGTATAAAATTGTTTGGTGATAGGAAATCGCGGGACAGTGTGTGGCACATTAAGTGCAATGCGCTATAAAAGATCTTCGCAAATGAGACCGTTGTTTACAACTTTATATAAGAATGTCATGTCGTGAAGTTTACGACGGTCTCGCAGGGTATTCATTTTGAAAAATTTCAAATGGTGATCGTAACAAGATCTATGAGAAATGCCTTGAGAAAAGAATGCCAAGTGTCTTGTAAAAGAACGCTGTATCCCTTCAACTCGCTGAGAATGCACTGCATAAAATGGAGACCACACCACACTAGCATATTCAAGATGGCTCCGGACTAGCGCATTAAACAAAACGATTTTAGTAGAAACCAGTTTAAATTTCTTTGTATTGCGCTTCAAAAATCCTAACATACGTGCTGCTTTAGTAACTACTGCATCGATATGCGCCCCGAATCGCAATTCGCTATCCATGATCACGCCAAGATCCTTCATCACACCAACCGTCCGCAAAAGATTTCCACTAATATCATAAGATGACTGTAATGACTTTTTCTTTCTTGAAAACTTTATATGGTGACATTTTTCTACATTAAGTTCCATTTGGTTACGAATACACCACTATTTCACTCTGTTCAAGTCATCCTGAACGAGTTCAATGTCATCAGTAGTGCGTATAACCCTATAAAATTTCAAGTCATCTGCAAATAACTGAAACTTACAGTTAATAATTTCGCATGTGATATCATTAATAAATACCGAAAACAAGATAGGCCCAAGATGAGATCCCTGCGGTACACCAGAAGTAGCATAATAAGGCTGCGATTCATGACCATGAACACTAACAAATTGAAGTCTTTTTGCCAAATATGATTTGAACCAATGCAACAGGGACCCCTCTACACCAAAGTCTCTAAGTTTGCTTAACAGTATATGATGGCTGACCTTATCAAAGGCACATGTAAAGTCGGTATAAATTGTATCCACTTCAAAACCCTTATCAAGTTCTTCGGTTAAATCAGAAACAAAACAGGCAAGATTGGTTACAGTGGAACGGCCCGATCGAAATCCATGCTGTTTAGATGTTAGGAAAGTATTAACATGTGCAGATAAAATGGGATGAACTAGAGACTCAAATAACTTGGACATACAGGAAAGGATAGCAATGGGACGATAGTTGTGCGTCTGGTTTGGTTCCCCCTTCTTAAATAAAGGAATAATCCTTGTTTTCTTCCATTCATCCGGAAAACAACCATCCCTCAAAGAGCGATTAAAGATAAGGCTCAATGGAAACGCCAACACAGAGCCGCAACGCTTGACAAAAATTGCGGGAATCAAATCAGGACCTGCGCCCTTGTAGATGTCCAGAGATTTAATCCTTTTCAGAATTTCGCGTTCCGTAAATTGAACAGTACATATAACTGCGCCGCGAGAAGATGTGTTATACTGCATTTCCATCTCCGGACAATCTTGACACAGACTGTACGAAGACGCGAACTGATTCGCAAAGAGATTGGCTATCTCCGGACCAGTACCAGCCCCCACATACCCCTTATACATTTGTAGTGGAACTGTTCCACAAATATTTGCATCACTATTCTTATTTTTTACAAAACGCCAAAAAGATTTTGGATCTTTTTTTACACTCTCCTCAATGTTTTGTATGTACCGAGTACAACAAGACTTTAAAAGTTTGCGACAATGCTCACGGAGAGCTTCATATGATATAAGATCTCTTGGATTTTTGTACTTCCTGTATTTTTTCCTTGCCCTGTCCTTTTCAGAAAGTCTTTTTATAAGTGCGTAAGTAAACCATGCCGGATATTTATTTTTAAACGGTTTACGCAAAGGAACATACTTTTTCACCACGACTCTAATAGTATCATAGAGTACCGAAACCATTGCATTAACATCTTTGCAAGAAAGGAACTCTGCAATCCAGTTAATGGAGCCCAATTCAGAAATTATTGAATTATAATCAGCCTTAAAATAGTTCAAGCGGTCACGCATCAATGGTTGAAGAAATGTTTGATGATTGCTTTGTATCATTACGATTTTTACTTTACCTAATTTTACTAATTTTACCGAAGTTTACTTTACCTAATGTGAGGCAGGTTAATACTAGTTTAAAAATAAATGAGCAGCCTGTAGAGTTAGTGGATTCTACAAAGTTTCTGGGTATTACTTTAGACTCGCATCTGCAATGGGATCCTCATATTGATGCCTTATCAAGTAGACTGAGCTCTGCGGCCTTCGCTGTTAAAAAAATAAGACTCCTAACTGATGTGGAAACGGCAAGAATGGTTTACTTTGGTTACTTTCATAGCGTTATGTCATATGGCCTTTTGTTGTGGGGCTCAGCTGCTAATATAGAAAGTATTTTCGTACTGCAAAAGAGAGCTGTTCGCGCCATATATAATTTAAAGGCAAGAGAATCTCTTAGAGAAAAATTTAAAGAAATTAATATTTTAACACTGGCATCGCAATACATCTATGAAAATATAATATATGTAAGAAGAAACTATGACGCATTTGCAAAAAAAAGTCAAACCCATAACTTAAACACGAGATTTAAGAACAAGCTTGCCGTTCCATGTTTCAGACTCCAAAAATCTAGAGGTTCATTTCTGGGATGTAGTATTGCATTGTTTAACAAAGTTCCCCAAGATCTGATTGAGCTTCCACTAACCAAATTTAAATCTCAGATTAAGAATACTCTTATGAATAAGGGCTATTATAAAGTTAATGATTATCTTAATGATCGTAATGCATGGACATAGTGTTTCTTGTAATTTCTTATTTGATGGGTATGAGTCAGTTTTGTAACAGTAGTATGGTACCTATCTAATGCCGCTTCCTATATATACTAAATATAAAATTTGTTGTAACTATATATCTATACCCTAAATAATGTAATGGAAGGTGACTTCAGAAGTATGTCTGAAGTCATTTTTCAACTTGACGACTCTGTATATATCAATACAGGGAGAAAAAAGCAGCCCTTGCTGAGTTTCTTGCCGGTTCTTCTCAGTACAAGGTCTCCCGCCGTAGTTTTGCGAACCGATGGCATAGCTTCTTGACTTTCACAAGTGCTTGTAACAGCCTAGACTGAATAAATGACTTTTCATTTCATTTCATTTCATTTCATTAATGCGGGATGCTTGATATCTAACTTACTCATAATATCATCAGCCTTTTCAACAGATACATGATTAGACATATTACTAAAAACAAGATCCAGAATTCTGTTATCGGAATTTAAAACATTATTAAATTGTTGCAAGCTATTTGTACTCATTAAGTCAATAAGGGAGTGACCCATGGGAGTGGCATAGTAGCTAGGAGTTAATGATGAGCCATCAGGGTTTTTGGTCCATTTAATAAAAGAAAGATTGAAATCACCCAATATAATCACATTGTCAACCATACCCATGATGTCACTCACCCTGTCAAGATACTTATTTAAAGTATCCAGTTTGAGAGGAGGTGGAAGGTAAACAGCACCATAGCTATTCTGTTATGTAAATTACCAGAACATAAATTGAGAACGACCCATAAATCTTCGGATTCACTCTCCCAAGTAGTCATTCGGATGGAAGGAATGTCACAAGAAACAGCCACTAGTACGCCTCCACCATCTCTCTTGCAGCCTTCAGCACAAACACGATCTCTGCGGTAAATATTGTATCGTGAATCTATTATTTCATTGTTCCTTATATTAGCATTGAGCCATGTTTCTGTAAACGCGATTACTCTGAAATTCGATTGCAAAATATTATCATAGACAAAATTCGTTTTTGTTCGAAGGCCACGTACATTCTGATAATATATGTCTAAAGAATCGAATTTTAAAATAAAATACACCGCAGGCTTTCGACCGCAGATAACTTAACCTATACACTCACACATCCCAAACTGTCCATATTTTTTTATCAAAAGCGCTTGACCCGACTCATCCTTGCGTAGATAGATACGGCCATTCCGGACCCATACAAATTTGTAGTTCAGTTCCTTAGCTTTTTTTCTTGCGGCTGCATGCAGAGCTTTATTAGTTGGAGTTAGATGTTCAGCAACAAATACAGGAACACAAGGATCTCCAAATCCAAGATGTTGTGAATTTAGTTTTTCCTTAGGGTTGGCCTTATTGAACTTAATGACTGCTGCAAGAACTGAGTCACGTTGATGCGAATTACGCAATTTAACAATAACAGATCGAGGTCTATCACTTTCTTTGTTAATCTTGGCTACACGTGTCACGTTCAAAACATCCTCTTCAACAACAGGACTATTGACAACATTGGCAAGTTGAATAACAGTCTGCAACAGTTTTTCTGAGCGATGCTCTGGAATCCCGTTGATTTCCAAGTTGCTCTCACGCTTATGCTGCTCGGTTAAGCCAAGTCTAGAAGAAAGATCCTTAACTGTAGACATAAGGAAATCGTTATCCAATCTCAGCTTTGTAATCGTTGCAGTTTTTTCCTCTACAACTGTCTTTAATTCCTCATACTGCTTGCTGACAAATGATACAGAATCGAGATATTCGGACATTTGTTTCTTAATTGCCTTTAATTCTTCGGTGACTTGCGCGTTGACCACTGATATCATCTCCTCTTTGATGACGTCCCTAATATTTTCCAAGGTAAGGCCCGACTGCACTTGGCGCTGAGTTGGTTGCGCATTAAGTGGGGAACCGTGACGTATTGCAGAACGAACAGGAGTGTTGGTGTTATCCTTTTTGGGCTCCTTATTAGTGCATTCCGGACACTTCCAAGAGCGTTTCAGTTCATTGTCCATTTTTGCAAATTTATCAGACATATTAGTACAAAGTAGATCATATTTACTATTACAAAAGGAGCACACCAAAAAGTCTTTATTTTTAATGGACATTTTGCAACCGGAACACTTGTTACTTGTTGATGCCATATTCAAAATAATATCAAAAAAGTTGATAATAAAGCGAAATAATATGAAAAAAAGCAATTATTGAATCTAAAAAATTATTAAGCAAAAAAAAAGACTCAAAAATGAATTTCGAGTTTTCGGGATTAGAACGTGAGTTCGTTGACCATTACCCGCTTCCAACAGCTACTATGCTAAAGTTGTTACAAGCAAAGCGACGAAAATAAGCGTACTTAGAAGCAATGCATGTTTAAAACTTTAAAAAGGGTTAAATGGTTTAAAATCTTTGTTACATTGACTTCACAGTTGCGAAAAAAAAAACACTGAGTCTAAATTATTATAAATTTTATAAAAAAGTTCACAGTATATTGCTTCTGTACACAATTACACTTTCACGTAGATATTATTCCACCAAAGAGATTAATACTTCGTCTTGATAGTCCGTAGTGGACCACTGTAAATGTTTGTTTATTTTGTATTAATTTACTATCACCACTGCGGATTAATCCAAGATAACATCACTACAGGTAGGTTGTATTACAAAGAAATTATTTCTGCAGAATAACTTGTGTAAATTAACTTTTAAATAAATTTAAAAAAGGTTTAACAAGGAGCCTATTGTTGACGTGACAGAATCGCCACCTATCTAGAAGTAAAAAAGTTATTATCTCGAGCTCCTCTGTACCGAAGAAGGCACGTTAAGCTTACAGCACTCACCAATTCACACTGGGCCCGCGTGATGAATCATGGCCTACTGTCCCTATTTCATCCGTAGGGAAGGCCTATGCCCCAGCATGGGGGGATTAATAGGCTGATGATGATAATAATGAAATGGTTTAAAAAAAATTGTAGCTACAGCTCTAAAATTCTTCTCCCAGACTCCCTACAGAATCACTCGTCGATGTCGTGCACTAACTACAAGTTCTCTAAGCTACATCGTGCGTGGCGTGTGCGCCTCCAAATAATGAGGGTTTAAAACTAAATGTTTTGAAGAAGTGCAATTTTTATATTTTGTAGTTACAGCTCTAAAATTCTCCTCTCTGCCTACAGAACCACTCGTCGATGACGTACACCAACTACAAGTACTCGAAGCTACATCGCGGCGTGTGCGCCTCTAAGGCGTGCGGGTTGAATGTGTCGCACGCTGACGGAGGAGAGACGGCTATCGCCGCGCTGAAGGATTGCTTCAACGCAAGCATACATCAGCAATATGGGTTACAGGTAAAATGACTCGAAAATCGTGCATCATGAATCGGTGAATCGCGACTCGATCAAATCAGGTTCGAAACTAGTTTGACCCTGCCATAATTCCTAAAAAATATAGTAATTTATTTTGAGTTCTCACTCAATAACTATTTCGTGTGAGTACATACTAATGCAAGGATTACATGCATATACGAGTACTTAAAACTTGACGTACGGACATAATGAAGAAATTTTTGCAGATGTTTTTTTCTTTCAGATTGGGAAATAATTATTCAGCTGATAAGGTTTTATCCGACCATAAACAATAGCCGTTAAAGTAGACATTTCTTTATTGTATTGTTATATTATGTATTAGATAAACTGCAGGATTACTAAGGCTCAACTCACACTAGCGCAGAGTCGAATGGACATTTTTTCTCAATGGGAAAACTTTAACAGTTGGAAAATTGAGAGGACTTTGCCACAAGCCTCGATGGCGCAGGTGGCTAGCGCGTTCGGCTGCGATCGTTGAAGTTAAGCAACTATCGCAGTGGTCGGTCATTGGATGGGTGACCAAAAATTTACTATCTCGAGCTCCTCCGTGCTTCGGAAGGCACGTTAAGCCGTTGGTCCCGGCTGCATTTGCAGTCGTTAGCACCCACCAATCTGCACTGGGCCCGCGTGGTGGGTCATGGCCCAATCTCCCTATTCCATCCATAGGGACGGCCTGTGCCCCAGCAGTGGGGACATTAATAGGCTGATGATGATTGCCACAAGCCAACGCGGCACGTAGCGTCGCTTCGACTTCGACAGATCGCCAATTATCGGCTTTAGGTCCCTTAAGGATCTTGCCGTCCCTAAACCCGGTGACGCTGTAAAGGTCATCCGCTACCAATAGCATACACACTAAAAAAAAGACTTCGACAGAGGGAGCTTAGCTTATATATATAATGCGATTCAAATAAGAATAGGAAAGCCAATAACCTCCAACTGTCAAATGTCGCTTGAAAAGTACATTTTGCAAAAAAATCTTGGAACCCTTTTTTAGCACTCCGCTAATTCTAGAATAAAAACCACACATTTGTAAACAAACAATAACAAATATTGATAATTAATATTGGTTGATATTTTTTTCCATTTATTGAGCTTTGGCTATTAATAGTTGATAACCTAACCGTCAACAAAATGTCACTTTAAGTTGCGTTCAGAAACTTTCGTTTACCTAAAGGATGCATGTTCGAATGTGACCTAGTAATAGTGCATGATTATTCATAACTACTCCGGCGGAAATGCAGAGATGAGCGGAATTGAAGAGCTAGATTCTTATTTATGTTTTTTTCTCACACAGTCTTAATGAATAAATATTATTAAAAATTAGTAGTTTGTATTCTCAATCTTAGTAAATATTTTAATAAAAAAATCTGATGTTTTTTCTCACTTAGTCTTAATTAGAAGTTTTATTCGATTAAATCTTTTTTTTTTGCTAACTCTACCTATTTGGTTTGAATTGCCAGCTATGACGTCAAAATATGGCGCCCAGTCGGTCCTACTCTTAGTTTGAATCGCATTATAACTAGTAAATTTTTCTTTAGATATTTATTTAATGAAAAATTATAAACAAAATATTTGTATTTTTTTTATGTACAGGTAGAGAAACTGTCGCTGAGATACTGCAAGACACAAAGTGACTACTTGCCATACGATGCTCTGGATTTCATCATAGGCGTCATTTTGTTACTCCTGTTCCTAGTCAACTTTGGCTGTTCTGCGTACTTCTACTTCTGGCCCCCAACTGAAATAAGAGGTAACGTTTTAATTCCAATTATAAGTATATTTAAGCAAATAAAAAGTTCAAGTTATTTATTTCTAATAAATAAAAACAAGGTTTAATCTCAATTAACTGTCGCCTATATAAAATAATTTTCTGCCATCTTTTCTCAATGGGTTTTCTTAATTTTGTGTTTTAGTTTTTATGTGATCTTTCTTGCTCTAAGATAATTTTAGCAACAGTCAGTGATGAAAATTGTATAAATACGTATAAAGAGAAATAGTTTTGTCAGAAAAAAATAAAGTTCAACGTCGTTTCGTGTATACAAAATGCGTTTTTTAACAATGACAACGGTTTTATATGTCATTATGAATGACTATAAGTTGTGATCAGTAAACCTTATCTAGATTACCAATTTCTCAGTAGTACCACAAAGCTTGTTTGGTAGTATACACAGCAAAAATCTGTCTTCCGATTTTGTTATCTGCCATTTCAGACATTAGTTTAATATGCATTATGCCATTACACGCACCACAAAGTACGTAACGAGAACTAAAAATCAGTACACATTTGACAATGACATTTCGGACACGCAAACGTTACGAATTCGATATTGGTTCGTGCTATGGGTACAGAATACCTATGCTGAAGTCATAAAGATAATCTTCTTTTGTCTATCTTACTCTGATTGTTTCGTAGTACTAAAAACGGTATATTTTATTTGGAAGGAATGCCTCCAATTTTCATTTTAAAATGCTGATGAGACCACCCTATCTCGAATGTTTCCGCTAACGCTATACGTCTAGCCGAGACAGTCGGTCCATTGCGAATGTTTATCACGTCAGAAGAGTTCTTCCCGTCCCTGTCGGTAAATTGGTGCGCATCAAAGGGCCATACATAGCGCGATAAAACTCGTACTGTTGGCTACACTTACGCGCTTTGTTGAAAGAAAAACTTTAATAATACTGCATGTAGTATATTAGTAACGTATTGTAAGAAAATAATGAATTGGCGTGTAGTAGGAAGGCCAAAGGGGAAGATCTTTCTCCGAGCTGGGTGATGGCAGCTCGGGGGCCGCGGCCCGACTGATGTTGGTCGGGCATCGTATATATGAAGAGTTAGCCTCCGAATTTCATTAGCGCGATGTAGGCTTCCATACCATTATGATCGCAGTGCAGGTAACGCCATCTCTTAAGGATGGTGAGTAATGATTTCCTCCATCCGTTGTATATATGTGGGGCATATAGATGTCGCCGCCACAGGCGTAATGATAGAATATAAGAATTCATAGCAAATTATAGTTTTTTGTGGAAAACGCCGCAAGAGCAAAACCAAAAAAAAATGTGAAAGAAAAAACACTTTCCTGTCTATATTTTCGCTATATTTTGTACTTAATAACTCGATGTCGCGAAGTTTCTTTCAAATATGGCCATGTGCGTGTTGTTGTAGATTGAAGTCGAAGCTGTCATCGCATTAATTATCGGGTCACGAATTATCGCGCGACAATGTGGCCGCAGCATTAATGTAAAAACCGTTCTAATTTAACTAATACTAGATTTATCCCATACAAAAATGTCAATTTGACATGGGCGCTTTTGTAATTTTTCTATAGGATAAATCTAGTTTTAGTTGAATCGAGATTTAGCAAAATTGCTGCAGGTGGAACTTAGTATGCAACAGGGTGTCATTTGTTTTTTTTCTATTCAAGCGAATCCATACATGCTGGCATTCAGCGTCCAGAAGAATTGGAAGGCGCTCAAGCACGGAGGCAGCGCTGATGGTGGCATCTTCAAATGCTTCCAAGCTTTAAGGTAATTACTAATTACGTCCTTAATTTAATTACTGTTACACAAATTAAATTAAGGATTCTAGTTCTCGGTGACGTCTTGTAACAAAGGAAATTGTCGCGTTGCTGAATTGTCTACCTTCCTTTGTACCCGCTTCCTTTGTGGAGCTCTGAAAATCTTACTCAAACACCGAAACGTAGTGTTAAAAATTAAATTAAAATTGTTTTATTTCTTTAGCATACATTTGGTTACAAAGATAAAAGTAGGCTCTTTTTTACAAGCTTTTATTTAACTTGCTATGTATGTTTGTTACGGTCAAATCTTACAATTCAATTTTAAAGCACTTGCCCTCAACCGATTAAGCTGAAATTTGGTATGCTCGTTCAATTCGGATGACAATGCATGATTAACAGTGTGACGTCATTCTAAATCCAATATGGCGGCATACCCAAAATGGCGGACCAATCATTTTTAATGCATTCCTACAATATGGGTATCAAATTAAAGGGCTTGCTGAGAGTAACTCGAAAAAAATGTGACGTCACTCTCAATCCAATATGGCGGACTTCTAAAATTTGAAAATCTATTTAGAAACAGATATCTTTAACTAATTTAGTTGAAATTTTCTTTTTTTCTTTTTAGCGCATTTGAATAAAAGCTTGTTTTTAAAAAGGTATTTTTTACCTTAATTTTATTTAAGTGTAAGACACCTGTACCAAAAAAACCACTCTTCCATAGCATGAGTTACATTATGGTAAGGTCATTCATTTTATAAAGATTAAATAGGTATATTATATTGTGAGTTACACCACAGGGCTAGTTAAAATTAAATTACTAAGAATTTACATGGCAATTTACGTTAAAATAAGTTGGTGCAACTCACGCTAATCAAAGCACTTCTAAATTACACAAGAATACAATGTGAACTAACTAAGCGGGGTGTTTATGCATGTGTGTGTGTGTGTGTGTATGTGTGTATGTGTGTGTATATGCGTGTGTGTGTACGCATGTGTGTGTGCGCGTGTGTGTGTGTGCGTGTGTGTGTGCATATAAGACATATTTTTAATATCATATAAAATTGTTTTTTCTATACATAGATATATTTGTATACCTATGTAAAAAATTGTTATAATACGTCAAAATTTTAATAAACTCTCTGTTTTTTGATAGTCTAATGTCTTCAGCCATGCCGTTAGCTTGTTTTTGCATTTACGGTAGGTTACCGGGTAGATACTAAGAATCTTGTTAATGCGATTATAGATGAAAGATGTGGATTTTGGTTTCGAGCAAAGTTTGTATTTGTACGTTCTATTATAGCTACTCTGTCATTTCTTCTTTTTTTGATAATATTAGCATTTTACGTAGGTAATTGAAGTGTACTTTCTTAAAATAGAATGAAGTATATACAATTTTCTTACAGTAAGTAGGCCCGATAGAAAATAAAGTAAATTTGTTGAAAAATCCCGTTTTTTAAAATACATAAGTTTTATGAGGGCTCTTCGAGCTCGTTCAACCTCTAGAAATTTAGATTGATTTAGATTGATTGATAGTTAACAAACGATAACGTTCGATTGACGATATCACTGAACCGATCCTTAATTTTTTAAAGTGAAACTTTTTTAAGACGGGGTGTGAATGGAAAAATCCTAAGGAAAAGATGGAACGGAAATACATGACGAGAGTCACACGACTATATATATATACTAGTTGACCCAGCGAACTTCGTACCGCCCTAAAAAAATAGGGGTTGTCCAGCGGACAAAATTGTGAATCTAAACCATTCTCAGATCCCCTTGAACACACACAAAAAATTTCATCAAAATCGGTCCAGTCGTTTAAGAGAAGTTCAGTGACATACACACTCACAGAAGAATTATATATATAAAAATATATACGTGTGTGTGGGATGCATGCGCAGCTCTTCCCGATGAGCATGAAAGCTGGAGGGTAACTGGGCGATGGCTGAAACGCACGCTATATATATATATATATATATATATGTGGGTGTGTGTGTGTGTGTGTGTGTGTGTGTGTGTGTGTGTGTGTGTGTGTGTGTGTGTGTGTGTGTGTGTGTGTGTGTGTGTGTGTGTGTGTGTATGTGGGTGTGTGTGTGTGTGTGTGTGTGTGTGTGTTATGTACGCTGCTCCATTCCCCTGTGGCTTATGCACCGCCTAATGTTAGGTTATTTAAGAAAAGGACTTTCACTTCTGAAGTGTGGTCCGTGCACACTATTTGTTGTACATATATGTATGTTAAGAGGGTGGCTAACAAGCGTTTGCGCCCCCCCCCCCCCCCTCCGCCCGCCATCAGGTTCGAGTGGTCTAGAGGCTCCAGACGGAGATGAGACTCCCCCCGTGGGGAGATGCCATCCGCCTGGAATACCTCTAGCGGCTTTCGCCAATTCTCAGCTTGAGATGACGCTGTAAATGTCATCTGCGACCAACAGCATACACTAACTAAACTAACCCTATCCCCTACCCAGTGCAACCCTAAAACCATACTCACACACAGAAACACGACACCACCTAAACGCAGTGTAAATTTACTGTCTTCTGTAATGTGGAAGTTATTTCCCCAGACGGACGCTCTTATTCGAGCGGAAAGTCTGCTTTGCCCAATCACTTCTCTTGATTTGCTGAACATCATTCATCATCATCAGCCTATTAATTACCCACTGCTGGGGCACAGGCTTTCCTTATGGATGGAATAGGGAGATTGAGCCATGACCCAACACGCGGGCCCAGTGTGGATTTGAGGGTGCTAACGACTGCAGATGCAGCCGGCACCAACGGCTTAACGTGCCTTCCGAAGCACAGAGGAACTTGAGATAGAAGATTTTTGGTCACCCATCCAATGACCGACCACTGCGAAAGTTGCTTAACTTCAAAGATCTCAAGCTCCTCGCTGAACATCATTAACGTAGTTCTTTATTCCAGATTTTATACTATGGTGATGATACTTGGCCTCCACTCTATGATCTTCATCGGTTATGGCTACACGGCGAATCCAGAGTTCATCGAGCATGTGAGTACAATTTTATAGAATACTAACTGTCCCAGCGAACTTCGTACCGCCATAAAAAAATAGGGGTTGATTGTAAAGGGTTGAAAATTCAGGCTTATATGTATTTACTAATTCTGTATCATAAAAAAAAATAAAAAATAAATATCTAAAATTGATAAAAAAAAATTTAGGGGTGGATTACCCTTAACATTTAGGGGGATGAAAAATAGATGTTGTCCGATTCTCAGACCTACCCAATATGCACACAAAATTTCATGAGAATCGGGAAAGCCGTTTCAGAGGAGTTTAACCACAAACACCGCGACACGAGAATTTTATATATAAGATTTAACTCTTTTGTTATCGACAGAGACTTGAGGCAAACAAACCAACAATGGAAAACCACAGTATCACAAAATAGGTACCTAATAATATGACACAAATAGTATTTTTTGAAATGTAATAATATAATACAGTGACGCAGTGAAATAAAATAGCGGGAAAATAAGAGTTTCTGGTTTCGCTCTGCCTTATGGCATATTTTTGGCTCGCGAAGGGAGAAGTTTCATGATGTTCATAACGCTATATTTGAAAGAAAGAAAGAAAAATATTTTTATTTATATTATTATATTTAACTTAGTAGAATTGAAATATAGATCGAAACTAATATACCAGTGAAGTTTTTTTTTAAATCCGACAGTAAATGATTGATAAATACCTACATTATTTAAATTTATGTATTTTAGCGCGGTACGATTTGGGCCTCTGAGGTCATTTCACCTATAGCTGTTGAGATCGTCGCACCAGAGTGCTTGGGCTGCTTGTAGATATTTTAGCATATTTTTGGCTCGTGAAGTACCAGGCCAATCATAAAGTTTTGCAAAAAAAAGTTTTTGTGTAAAAGACACTTGTACAACGAAGGACTTCCTGGACTCCACACCAGTCAGATTCTTGGGACAACCTCCTTACAGTCCTGCTTAGGCTTCGTGTGACTTCTTTTTATTCCCTATAATAAAAAATCAGCTCAAAGGGATACAGTTTTCTTCGTCGGAAGAAGCGCTAGCAGCGTTTGAGAAGGCTGTGTAAGAGGTGTCTGCGGAGAACTGGGAAAAATGTTTTGAAAATTGGTTCAGACGCATGAAACTTTGTATAGAGGCTAGTGGAGAGTACTTTGAAAAGTTTTAATAATTTTTTTTTCATAGAAGTTAGTTTTTTAGTTTCTCAAAAGTTTCTGAGTGTGCCACGTGCAAACCTACAGTTGCGTTATAAGTTTGGATCTATGTCTGTGTAGCTAACGGTAACAAACCATAAATTTTGGCGCCAAAACCATCCATCCAACCGATACGGGTACAAAATGGACTGTACAGAAGGTTATCTACATACAAAGAGCGCTCGAACAACGCGCACATATACACCGTTCATCAGCGTTGCCAGTTTTTTTTTTGCCTAGCGGGATTCAGGAACTTTTTGAGTGAAAAAAGCGGGATTCTTTCGTCGAAAGCGGAATATAGTAAAAAAAACGTATAATAATCAAAAGTTTTTTAATATTTATCATTTTATTTGAGTGTAAATTACGTTTACGTGACAATAGATAGGTATTTAGTAAAAATATCCTTGAGGATAATGTTTTTTTTTTGATTCAGATTTACCCTATCGTTAAATAGTCTAATGAGTCCAAATGCGCCTAAAGATGAACGAAAAAAATTTACGTAATGTAATAAAAGTTTCACGTTAAAAAGTATTTCCTACATGGCTACTTATGCTAATTTGCGGAGTTGGCAAGTGTTGTGTTTTCATAACATGCTTTGAGTTTGCATATACGCTTTGTAAATTACCTACGTTTCAATATAATTGCAATAATGTGCATATTTAGATTTCTGTTTCAATAATTATACTGGCGGTTTTGGCAACCTTTCAGTACCCTTAGTACAAGTTTTACGATTACGAAAACTATGATAGTTTTCGTGAGCTCGCACTCGTACTTAGGGTACTGTTTTTATTGTTTTCGTTTCAATACAAATTTAAACAGTGTTTAAATTCTATCATTAAATCATTTGCGTCTTCTTAAATTTTAAGTATATTTGATTACTTTTCACCAAAATGGACATAGAAACATAATTTACAATTCGAAAACTACTAGTTTTCGTGAGCTCAAACTCGTACTAAGGGTACTGATCATACGATCTATAAGTATGGTAATTGTGTTTGATAGTTTACTATCATACACACTTCATACACCTTTGGAATCTATAACGTGGTTCGTGTCCGTCTGTATTTCATGGAGTTGTCTGCAATAATTTTTGAAACGTATAGAATCATGCCAGGTTTTATCTTTGAAGTATAACTTCTTTACGCACGCTTGACTTGGAGGGTAAGCTGGTGTGTTCGGGCGAGGCGAACGGGAGTTGAGTGGGGGATATACGAGTAGCAAGAGAAAGCAGTGCGCTTGCACATTTTCTGTCTCTCTTTCTCAAGTTTTTTTGATCTCACGTTATTGACTAATGTTTATGGACTAAAGTGGTTATTCGTCATTCTGTTGTGTATTTTAGTAAAAATAACCTAATCAAAAACTCCATTTTCAAGTTTCCGCGAAAACGTTTTTCGGGACAATATGGCGTCTTACTAGTGTGTGACGTCACACGACTGTTATCAAAACGTCAAACGATACAATGTAATGTCACTTTAACCGGAAGTTTACTTGCAAGCTTAGCAAAATTATGAATATATTTTATTGTTAAAATTGTAAAAACCCCTGCCAATATTCATTCTTAACACAGATGCTAACAATTGGCACTTTATTTTTAATACAACAATGATACAATGATTTAATTTTAAGACAAAATTGGACAAAATGCAATTGTTATTGTAATTTTTAATATGGGTTACTGTGCCTGAAATAAACACTTATTATTATTATTATTAATACTGTCAAAAACCCTATTATCTCAACTTTTCTTTTATGTTTTCTCTTCTGATCCAAACCTAGAAACTTGATATATAATAATTTGTGGTCGATGATCCGAATCTGGGGTCAGATTTGGGATTGCAGTCCACACAAGGGGGGTCAGGGCTACCTAAAAAATAAAATTTCTATTTTTCCTGAATCCATATTTGATATCAGACCCAATTTTTATTATTCATGATTTTTATTTCAGGTTACATTGTTACTTTGTAGTTAATCGAAGTTTGTGTTAAAGAATTTGTAATGCTATAATTAGAGCGTTCGGAATCCGCTCTGCAATCGAGAGAGTTTTGCAATGAACGATCATCAGATGAATGGTTTTTCCAGTATTTACCTAGATACATACTTATTCTAGTCAATAATTGAAAATTGGTTTTTTGCTTTACATTCGAACACAGAATCCCCTCCTTTTTTGCGTGTATTTCCATTATATATACATATATCTTTCACTATCCTCTTTTGAGCACAGGAGATTGGTAGGTGAAAAGGGGATTGCAAGGTGAAAAGGGATTGGAGGGTGAAAAGGGATTTGAAGGTGAAAAGGGGGATTTGAGGGTGAAAAGAGGAATTGGAGGGTGAAAGGGTGGTTTGAGGGTGATAAGGGGATTGGTGGATGCGTGAGTACGGTGGGACTTACACCTTGGTACCTGAGCGAGCTGTGGCGTCTATCTCCTTTGCGGCGAAGGGAACTCAAACAGACAGACAAACTGACGCCGTAACGCGTTACGTAACGAAGCGATTTACCCTCGCATAAGAATTTATCACTTAATAAATTCAACACGGGCCGGGTTTCAGACAGGATTCGAATCCGCATCTATCGCTATCCGGCCGGAAAATATGCTTAAAAAACATACTTTTTCGTGATGAAAATTTTTCGTTCACATATTCTTAAAGAGCTTTTAACAAATAACTACCGCATCTAAACATAATACAATTCTATTGGTAGAATTATTAGTGGAAGAAATGGTTATAAAAAAATGTGTGCACGGACCACACATCTGAAGTGAAACTTCTTTTCTTAAATACCCTAACATTAGGTGGTGCATTAGGCATAGGGGAATGGAGCAGCGCACGCATCCACTCATATATATGTATATTTAAATATACATTTTGTCGAGTGTGACGGTCGTGACACTCGTAGCGATTCAGCCTTCGCCGAGTTACCCTCCAACTTTCATGCTCGTCGGGAAGAGCTGCGCACGCATTCCACACACACACTGCGCCGTTGAGATTGATACTAGAATGGCGAAAATTGTGTTCTATTGTATATGCACTCTCGTAAGGTTTTTTTCATTACGGAATTTCTTGATTCGGTGGCCGCGCTCAAAGCCTGCGATAAAAGCTATACAATAGCTTAAAAAACGAGAGAGAGGGCGGCAGAAGCCACAGAAACACATTCGTTACTCGCCTATGTCTTGATTTGATTCACACATTTTGAGTGTGGCGGGTGGGGGCAAATCGAAAAATGGACGCATCTGCATCTACTATTTTTTCTGGTAGCTCTTTCCATACATCTCCTGCATTTTTCTATAACACTTCCCGATTTTTAAAATCGGACCTGGTACAACTGAATGAATGGTAGGAATTTTCGTAATCGCGTACCTAATGTATGTAGTTCGATACCGAATACTTATACGATGAACTGTGAAGTAGACACTGTTAACTGTTGCGTTGCGCCAAGATTGCATTAAAACCAGTTTAACGGGCCCCAATGGTAGTGTGGAAGTTAAGATTCTATGCTTTACTGAATTGCACAATTTTGTTCAATGAATATGATTATAACGTTCATGTTCTTAATGATCTTAATGACCTTTGCATTCGAATGGAATTTTAGGGTTCCTTAATAAAAAAAGTTGATAATAGAAGAAACCTTTTTTTTTAATATTCTCTTTCATATATAAAATTGCAAAATGTGCATACTCTTATTGAAGTTATGTTTTTATTTATTTTTTAAGCATTCAACTTCTAGATGTTTAAATCTAAAGAAAAGTTTACTAGAAAAAAATCCACGCGGACCAGGCAGCGGACGGGACTCGAACCCGCACCTTTCGCAATCCGG